GCGGACGTAGTGATATTGCAGGTTTTTGACACTTTCGGGTTGGTTTCATTTTTCAGGGCCAGTTGCTACGTCCATCTTTTATACAGTCTATGGTCAAAAACAGTGTATTTTTATGATCATCAGTGGTGCAGCTTAACTAACAATTGACTCCAAATGTTTAAATCAGACGACCAGTTCCATCTAACATTCCATCATGTACAGTAGGGGTGTAGCTATATGTTGCAGTGGGAGCTCTGACTTTAAGATAAAGCTTCATATCACTAGACCGTGATTATTTGAAACATGAATTACTGGCTCATTCTGATTGCAGGCTTCGCTTCACAGTGAGTCTCTCAAGCAAGCAACAGACCAGTTCCAGAACTAATACAGTTTGAAACTTGAGCAGCCACACCTTCACTTTAAAGGACAGGGACATATCTACATACTTGCAGACAACTGTTATTTAATCTTTGCCTTTTGGTCATGTAGTTTTGCATAGTAAAATGTGAAACTACACTGTTCACATTTCCTTTGGAGTTGTCATTTGTTTTCTGGAAAATGTCCGTGTCAAGAACTTCAGTCAAGCATGAGACTTCATGTTCAGCACACCCACTGACCCAAATAATTACTCTCAGAAGTCTATATGTGTGCGTACTCACATCCTGAAAGGGAAACTCAAAAGTGCAAAAAGTGCTTTGGTAGTGCACCGTCAGCTACAACGTACAGGCGTAGTGAGTCTTGAAAGCTGAGCAGCCACTGTGCAATTTTTACTAATGTTGTAAAACTACACCTCAGACTCACACTAAACATGTTCTTTGATCCTCCTACATGGCCAGAATCAAGCAGAGTTCACTCACAGATGTTTGAAGGAGAACTTGTTGCTCGACTCAAAGATGAAACCCGTTCACTTGAAGTTATAGCCAGCAATTGTCATGTGCAACATCTCCTCACATTTCACTCGCTGCTTGTTGTGTTTGCACTGCAGAAAATCCTGTGTCATAGACTATACAATGCCATTGCATCACAAAAATTAAACTTATTTTTCTGACTCTGGGAGATTTTACAAATATTAAGATGGCTCATCTGTGTTACTACAAGTTGGACATTCACTTTGCATCCTGCAAGTTTGCAATTTCAGCGAGATGTAAGTGCATAAGTATGCTCTGTGTTTGCAAAATTGCAGACGTATTGGAAACATCCAGGTGCAGAACTTTTTTGGCATAAGCACCACAAAGCGACTTTCATTAGTGTGAATGTGGCAGCTTCTTGTAATTCGTATGTAATATATCTACAGAGGTAACACTGAACATAGGTTAGCATTTATTTATTACCAGGAGGCATGACATGAGTCACTAAAACTATCTATTTATATTGATTTATTTAATAAATAACTAAATTAAGCTTCTGTGCACAATTCCACCTAATCATCTTAATTCATTTTAAAAAGAAAGCAACCAGAAAGCTTAATTTAAGAATTTATTCATTTTAGTTTTGACATGTAGGTTGAAAATATTTTTATAGCGAAACTGGTTAATTTAAAAAAATGACAAAGTGCATCAATTAACCAACTGTTAAACAGGATATTCGTTGTTAACTACATACAATCAAGACAGTCTGGGGTGGCCATGCTCAACCACAGCAGCTGTTTTCCATTGTCATTAACATTCAGTCACTGCATTACAAACATCTGACGAGACAGCACAGAGACGAACCAATCCACGACCAGACTGAGTTCAACTACATGTAAAACAATCTGCTCTTATTGTCTGTACATCATACAGTCTGCATTAAGTGTGTCTCCCTCCTTACAATCTCCATGTTCCTCAACCGACCTGACCGTAACGTCCCCACCATATGGCCACTAACGCTAAGATGACAGCAGGACTGGGCTTCCAGGCTATATTTGGCCTACATGTTGTGAACGCTGAACATATAAAGCTCTCTGTAGCTGGAATAGCTCCACACATAACCATCTTTCTTACTTCTGTGGTAGCTTAGAGTGCAAGTTTAATTGTGAGTGCACCTTGCTTTCTAGCGTGTTATTTTTGCTATTGCAAGAGAATATCAAGCAGTGGAGGTATTCACTGATAAACGAGGAAAGACTCTGACTAACAATTTACTGTAAGTTAAGAGAAATTAAAGCAGCCAGTAGGTCATGTTTCCACGGCCCTACTCCTAGCTAGCTGGTGGTGCTTGGTGATGCTGCCGAGCTGTCAATCTTAGCTTAGCCTAGCATACTGTGTGCAGCTAGCTTGGTGACTAACGTTACCTTGGTCTTGACATGGCTCGTGTCCCACGCCGGTCTCAGTTCTTTAATGAGCTTCATCGCCCCCTCCGTGACATTTTGCTCGTCCACAAAAATGGGAATTTTTCTAATTACCGGCGACCCGACAGGCACATGTATCTGCGTCTCCATCCTGCAGCGGTTTATCTGACACAGTAATCTCCGAGTCCTTCACCGATATTTCGAGAAGCAGAAGCATGTAAGTGTTGCTTGGTTTATACGTCGCTTGTTTCGTTGCGTGGTTTCGTGAATGACTTCAGCTTTGCTTCAGAAATTTATCTTGAGTGATAGCTGCTGTAGTCACCGTGAGTTGAACGCAGTGATGATGCCGGGTATGAGTGCTCGTCGCCGGTATTCTTGGGAGCAGTCGGCCAACAGTACCGTTTCCTCCGACTTAGCTCCGCCCGCCCAGGATCATCCGATTGTACCGCCGGTTAAGACGGACCACAGCCAAGCACGCCCATTATTTCCGAGTGTTTCCGAGTGTTTCCGTTTTGAGCCGAATCACAGTACATGCAGTCATTATGGGGAAAATGTGGTTTTAAAAATTTCAAAGACGTTATCTATGTCAAGAGCACGGTGTTTAATGTCGGTAGACCAGACACGAGTTTAATAAGCAGCTCTTTAATTCGTTGGGTTTTGAAATAAATTGCAAAGAATCTAAATATAAATTAAACACATCATATCTAAACTTGAGGGAAAATCTCTTTACTGTAGCTACTGGAATGAGCAGCTCTTTTCTTGCTATAGTTCATTTTTAAAACTAAGGTCTTGCACATCTTGGTATGTACACATCTTTCAATGTCCAAATTAGCTTTTTACAGCTACTCGTAGGGCAAGAAGCAACTGGAGAGGCATTAAAGTGAGTCTATGTATGTGTGTATTACTCATGTTATGGGACATGTTGTGGAGACTCACCTCTCAAGACAGGTAGAGAAGAAAGGTAAATCTTTGAATCTAAGCATGGAGACTTGATTTTGACTAAGGCAAATTTAGATTTAGATCAGGATAGGTTTAGGTTAAGAGTAGGCTCAGGGTTAGAATAAGTCCTCAGGAGATGAGTATACACGATTCTGCATGTGTACATGTCATTGTGACACGGAGACGTTTACCTTGTGAGGACTTGTGGCAGAGTTATACAATAACTGTGCTTCAGGTTGAGGCCATCACTGACATTGGAGTGACACAACTTCTCAGGTCTGCTTTTGGTCTGTTTGTTTGTTTGGTTTTTCAGCACACTGCTTTAGGCCACGAAGTCTCTTTCAAGTAAGTGCACAAGGACTCATATATATAGTATATTAGCTTTTTGAAGTATTTGTCACTTGAATAAAAATCTGGAAGAGTTGCTAACGATGTGTTTTTTAGATTAGGAGAGATCAGAGAAGTAAGATAAGTACACGTTGGGGCACTTATGTCTAAGAGGTTCTTGTTTAGTTCAGGACACCAACTTGTATAAATATCAAACTATATCCATGTAGACGTGCTTTGGAATATCTTTCTTTCGGATGCAGATTCTGGGACAGTCTTGTACTGTCAGCAGTATGTGTCACTTGTTTCCAAAGCTCTTTATAGTAGAGTTTAATCCCTCCAGTCTTTAAAAGTCTACAAAAGCTTGTAGCTCTGTAAAAGCGCTGTAATGAACCGTCTATCCCCATTTTAATGACAGTTATACAAAACCTGTCAATTGCTAGAAAATCAATGTAAATATTGTCTAGTTGGTCAGAGCTACCCTGTTGTATGTGGTTGAATGAGGGCTGGTTGTGCTGTTTAAATGCATAGGAATGGATGGAGAAGAATTGTTGTGCAGTAAAGTTTTGCCAGATAAATAGTAGTCACTGTAGGTAATTCCAGTTCTACCAGCACATGTGTTTACCTCTAACTAGCCTCACAGTCGGTTATGTATGATGGCTGGAGGGGTGGCAAGACTGGGATGGCCGTGGGAAACCTGGGACAAATATAAATATAAATATAACAAACAAAAACGTTTTTTTTGGACACACACAGATTAGATAGGTCAAAATAAGATTAAATAATTCTCTAGTGGTGAATTAAAGCAGCCAGGTAAAGATGAAAGATTTTGAAACATAAAAAAAAAAAAAAACAGCTGGGAAAGGAAGTGACACATAAGGAGAGCAACATCCAATAAACGATTTGGCTATTCAAGCTATAAAAAATTACCCCCAAAAAATAAAATAAGAGGAAAGTACACAGAGGGTTGAAAAAGCTGAGAAAGCTGTGAATTGATAAAATATGTACAAAGACCTGACTTGAGCCAATATAGCTGAAAAGTAACAGTATTCCACATAAAAAGTGGTCCAACCAGATTAGTACGTGTTTTTAAAGTGTAATTTGTCCAGATTCTAAAAGAGAAAAAAGCCACCTGGTAAATGCAATAGAGTATAATCTATTAGGCTGCCTGCTACACTAGCTTAAAACTTTACCTAATAAATAGTTTTCACCTCTGTGTGTTTACTCTAGGAAGTAGCACGAAGATAAAGTCGGCTTGCCATCAGTCCACATGAACTATCATTATGAGCTTGCCAAAAACGCCAACTCTTCCAGATTCAAATCACTGTGCAGCAAGTCTTGTAGTGCTATTCGACAGACCAATTAGGTTAATGTACAAATGGGAACTGGGTTACCTTGGAAAGAGTATGGCCTGCAAAGGCTTTCACTCTGGCAGTATCACCTCTCAGCCACATGATGGCAGTATAGTAATAAAATGAAGAGGGATTGTCTCAAGATAAACACCTGTCAGATGTCCTTCACCTGTCAGATGTCCTTCACTTGTCAGTCTGGCTCTGTGTCTCCTGTTACTTTTGAAAGTGTTTGAGAAGAGTTTCCAAAAACTCCTTCTTGTGTAATAAAGATCCACTTTGGACAAAAAAAAAAAAAAAGACTCTGTTGTCAGTCAGTTCAAACGTAGATGAAATGGGGCACGTGGTGTCACAAAAGCCACTTTTATGTTTTCCCTTGTGCTTGCAACTGAATATAAATCATTCCCTTAAAAAAAAAAAAAAACTGCCTCCCTCCTCCCACCAAAGTGGTTAATTTCGATTATTTACCGTTTGAAAGCAGAGACCATGATAGGGCCAAGATAAGAATAAAAATAAAACATCTGTCTCATCCTCCCATAACATTTTGAATATCATCCTGCCGAAATCACAACACGTTTGTGTAATGCAGAATATAATACTTTTTTTGAAGTTGGGTTTTGAAGTCTGTGTCAGAGGCATAAATTAAATAGTACATTTCTCAGTGCACTTTTATTTTACCAATGAGATGTATATGCAAAATAGAATAGAATAGAATAGAATAGAATAGAATAGAATAGAATAGAACATCTCTCTACCACTCTCCACACATTCAGCCAGCATGCTGACTGCCCAACGGGAGACGGTACGGCCTTGGACCTGCTGTGTGTGGACACCAGGAGGCATATTACTTAATTATTGTTATTTTCTTGTACTTTCTACATTTTTGGATGCTGCTGTGGTGTGTAAATCTCCCAGGTCTGGGATAAATAAAGTATATTCTATTCTATTCTATTCTATTCTATTGTTACAAAAAGAATGAACTCTGAGCTTGCTAAACTAACGTCTCATATGTCAGAGATTGCATGATTCATGTGAAGTGGGGCGATTCAGGAAGCGGGACTGTTCCGTTTGAAGAGCGTTTCCACTTACACACAAATTCAGAACATTTACTCAAACTCACAAAGCATGTTTGATTAGCCTTAAAGTAGACTGGTGTCTTTTGAGTAAATGTAAATTGCATTGTACTATTTGAACAGTTTTCTATTATTAATCTTTCGTGTTACAGGTTTTGTGCTCATAAACCACTAACTGCCCTCCCTAACCTACTAGGCCTTCCTTTACTAACTAGTCTTTATAGTCCTTGGTGCAGGATAAATAGTGTACAATGAGTTTGGTAGAAGCTTTATTTTCTAAAAACAGCTGCTTCCTGCTGCTGTAGTATGAAAGAATCTGAATTGTGGCATTTCATTGGTAAATGTATAACACCTGGAGGTTGCAGAGCAAATGCATTATAAACGTAATAGTCTTTCTTAGCTAAATATGTATGTATGTGTGTGTAAAGAATGCTGATAAGATATGAAACCTAGTCTGTAGTCAGTGTGCATGCTGCCGATTGAATAGTTAACAAGCTACTCTTTTGGTTCATATATGAATCATGTCGAACCCCTGGTGGGACAGCCTAGATTTCGAAAAGGGCCTTCACAAATTGAGGCTGACTTAGCCAAAACCCTGACAGGACACAGAATCGCTAGTCCTCCTTCACAAGAGGCAGTGTGATCAACTAAGACAGGTGGAATTCAGATAAAACCTTAAGCAGGAAAGCTGGACTGGAAACAAGTCAACATCCACCCTACCAAAGCAACACCAAATCTCCTTGACTACCTACGGATTGAGTTCTCACTCTGCTGGGCGTGCAGCCCCCCTTGACATGATGTGTTCTGAGTGAGCAGAAAAGGAGCTGAGCCCACTGCTATAGTTTGGCTGCCAGCTTGCACAGAATGGGGGAGCCCAGCCTTCACTGTCTGTTGATGTACGCTGCAGTCACTGTGCTATCTGTCCTGACAATGACATGGTGACCTTGCGCTCTTGACAGAAACTGCCAAAGAGCAATGAAGGACAGCTCTTAGTTCCAAGACGGTAATGTGCTGGGTCACCCAAAGGCCAGTCTGGAGCCCACTGACCTGCAAGGCTGATCAAGGCCATTACTCAGTTGACTAGCTTTAGCCTAGTGGTTTTAAACTTCCATCTCACAATGCAGTTCTGTTCTCCTAGGAACACTCAAAGCTTTAGATTTTGACAATATTACGTCGGTGAAGGAAGGTCCTCCTACAGATGTGCTTCATGTGTGACTTAAAGGAAGTATCCTGGTCAAAAACAACTCCAAGGTTCCTTACAGTAGAACCAGAGACCAAGGCAACGCCACCCAGCTTAACCATCTGGTTAGGCAGTGTGTTTCTGAGGTGTTCAAGGCTGAATACAATAACGTCAGATTTGTCTAAATTTAGGAGAAGAAAATTACACGTCATCAAGGCCTTTATGTCCTTAAGACATGCCTGGAGTTGAACTAACTGATTGGTTTAATTAGGCTTTATAGATAAATAAGTCCTACAGGACTCAAATTAAGTTGTAGACACATCTAAAGGACAATTAAGGAAAGAAAAAAATATCAGAATATTATCTAGAGTGACATAGCAAAGGTCATAAATAAATAACCTTTGGTAAATCAGGAATCACAGCTTTTGATTGTTTGGAAATTTGGGTTAGGGTTGGGGTTAAACATTTCTTAAACTATGTTTTCACTTCATTATAGGTCATTGAGTGTAGACTGAATCTGAAAAACGGATATTTTATCTATTAATATATAAAAATGCATATAAATATACTTATGTTTATCTATACATTATACATACTAAAGCGGTGTGAATACTTTCTGAGGAAATAAATCTAAGTTTCTAAACAAACCTAAGTTTCTGGAAGCTCATGATAGTCATGAGTTTGATCAACATTTTAAAATGATAAATTCATGTCAGGCTGTAAAAAGCTCTGAAACCTTTGTTCTACAATTTAAAGACATATCTGCCCAACTTAGATAACCAACATATTTACAGTAAATGTGACAAATAACACTAAGACAGAGAGATGGTATGAAATAATATAGTCCTTTATTTCCAGCAATTTACAAAGTCCTGCAGGGAAAAAGCCTCTCTCCTGTTTCACTGAAGAGGGCTTTTACAAGTGAACACACATTGAACACAAAGACCTCAGACCCCGTTAGACTGCATGTCTTTACATGAATTTCCTCAAAGGCAGCAAAGCTGACTAGGACATGAGGACGTTTACAGTCAAGGACTTGATCTTGATGTGGATGTTGGCAGCCTGAGGGTGGTTCCCACTGAGTTCTGGGGCTCAAGGGGTCAAAGCACTGAAGTTAATGAGGCAGTAGGTGGGTTACTGGTGAATGGCTACCTATGTTAGGTACAGAGAGGGAACATCTGGAATCATAAGAAGAGACACTTTACCTTGTTTTCTTTTTAGGCTTTTGGGTATATTTGTGGGTCTTAGCTCTACCGAGGCTTGACATGATTCCAGACTTTCCAGGTGCTCTTTGACGTAGACTGCTGAAAGGTTTTCAAAATCAAAACCCTTATTTCTGCAGATTTACGTGAACAAAAGCTCGTAACTGATGCTACCAACCCTACTCTCCACTGCCACATCATATAAAGTCACTGTTACATTACACATCATAATCAACATACTGTACATCTTTTATTAATCAAAGCTAATTAAAGAGACACTACTCTGTGGGGAACTTATCTCCTAATTGGTTACTGTGAATCAAGCTCGACTCTGACATTCATCCATTCTATTTCTTCTGCTTCCCCAGTTGCGACAGGACATATGTGCATCTGTGTGAGGTGTGTCAAGACTGGTATTAGGCACCTTGCTAGTCATTGGCCTCACTTCCATTTTATTATGGAGAGAGGCAAAAAGCTCTAGTGGTCTTTTGCAAAGAAGAAAGAGATGAAAATATTGACAACAATGTGGCGACAAAGGAATAGAGTGGAAATGACAAAATAAACAACCTTATATATAGAATAAATATAGTATATACAATTTGCTTTGTGTGCTTCTAAAAATAAATAGACAAAGCATTACTTGTCCCCTTATAGAAGTATTCACAACTTTCTATTGATGTAGAGTCTGAACACTGGCACCTGGTCAGTAAGAGAGTGGAAGATACAGACTGAAAGTGAACAGATTGAAGGATGCAGCTTTTACACCATTCAAACACTGTATGAAAGCACACAAATTGAGAACAGTGACTCCGAGTGGACACGTGTGGGTTTGTAACCAGAGGACACACAGACCAGAGAATCCCTGCGGTGCCCTCTGATGGTGCTTTTGCAGATTACAGTACACTGTAGCGTTTGAACAGTGAGAGAAGCTGCTTTATGGTTACAGTGGTTGTTTTCTTAATTAAATCCATGATACAAATCAATGAGTGTAAAGAGTTAAAAAGATTAAGAAAAGGAGGAAAGGAATACTTAAACAAAATCACAATTTCAACATAATTGATGCATTGAAATTATCTGTAACAGCACAACGAAAACTTTTAAAAGATCAAATAATTATGTTTTGCAATTTCATCCTATGTGCTCTGCACATGCATTCTGCTGGCTCCCTCTCAAAATAGACGAGCAGATAAGTCGAGCATCACTTGCAGGTTTCTCTTGGGCCAACGTACGTACTCAGTACAGTCTGTCGTAATGACTCACAACTTCCTTTTCTATTCTCTTCCTCACCTGTATACCCACTAGTCAGCTTATCTGACGACAAATAGTTTGTGTGGCTGTGAATGTAAAGGAATTTGGGGGGCATGCACGAAGATTAAACCAATGTGTCACTATGCTAACCCCTGATTTCATGTAAATCAGTGATTTATAGAGGTTCAGGTTCATCCCTAATTAGAGACACTATTGTTTAAAATCTGTAAAGTCTTTACCTTAGTATGTGAAGTGCTATGAGATGAAATATGTTGTGAATTGGTGCTGTATAAAAAAAAAAACTGAATTTAATTTAACATTCTTGTTTGTTGCAAGAGAGACAAAACTTCTGCAATGAAATCTGCCTCCACACCCAGTAACACCAGGAACTACAACAGTCAAATATGTTGGGCCTTGAGAAATAGGCGGTTGGCAGCTCAGTACAACTACCACAGTCACGGTTTTCTGCATATTCCACACAGTCAAGATGATTTGCATCCAGTCAGGAATTTGCATGTAAAACCTCAGGATGCTCTGACCAGAAGTTCCATGTCTACAATGTTGGCAAACTGGAAACAAGCTAGCACCACCAGTCTTTAACCATTCCCTGACATGTTGTTCTCTCATCATGTCAACAAAGATTTATGAAGCCGAAATAAAAGTTCACCTAATGAGACTTGCTATTTAACTGCAAGCTTATCATGAGGCTTATCAAGCTTGTAGTTGCTAACAGGACAGTAAGTTCCCACAGTTGAATTAAAATAATATACTACAGTCTACTCAGGGTCTTTAAACCATTTCTTGTCTGTGTCACAATTTATACTTTATGGAATAAAAGTGAATGGTGCGACATCGTGAATAAGCTGCTTGTGTTTTGAAGTCAAACAACACATCGAGCGGCGAGGCAATTCCTTTGGTGTGAACTGATTTAGCTGATTAATACAGCTATTTATATGTTCGGATTTGACTGGGCTCTTACACAGCTTGAAAAACTATGATTATATTTTGATTAATTAGAATCTAAGGGTCAGTGGCATCAATAAAATACTAAAAAGGTTGCCACAACTTCCTGTGACCTGACACCATCATTGGTTTATCTTTTACTGAAATGATTATGTGTACCATCATGAGAAGAAATTAAGTTTTACGATATAAAGTAAATCAAATCCACACAAACTATCAGCTATCAGTACCTTTCATCTGGTGTGAAACTGTGCCAGCTGAAACTGGGTGAACACCTGTAATCCTGGCTAAGGCAACTTAACACAATTTTACACTCTGAACCATGTGTGAACACAGTGGCCTTCAATTGGCTAAGGACTGCGGATTTGGTGCAGTGAATTGCAGCACGTTGAGCCTCTTGTCACTTACTGTAAGCCTGGCTTAGGAAGCACAACAACAGCTAACCTGCTGTAGTAGAGAGCTGATAGGTGGTTTTACACAGGGGATCTGGTGCTATTCTCTTCTTAAATAACTGGTTGTAAAATAAAACCTCACTAACTTCTGCATATCCATGAGTGAGCTGCAACAAACAGTAAGCCATGTTTTTGTGTTCCAGTTTATCAAAACACTCCTAGTCACAGTCACATGGTCATTTTCCACATACTATTTTTCCAAAGTTTAAGTGTTTGCTTACTTTTCTCAGTGAGGACATTTCATTATCACAGTAATGCCAGATCTGGCCAAAAATTGCAGTAGTGTAACCTCTGTGGACGCGATAGGAGGTGTGAGGGCTAAATGAACACGCAATCCCCATTTAAAGAAAATATATTAATGAGCCGATTCAACCACTAACACAAACAGAGTTCAATCTTATGAATGGCTGATAAAAACCATTTGTTGGACTGACCTCAGGTCTTCCTAGTTCTGGCTCAAATCAAGCCCATTAGTTACATTTGTGGTCCAGTTTATGTTTCCTGTTATCCCAAGGTCAAAACTAAAACCTATGTTTTCTGTTTATATGACATAGCACTTGGTGAATTAGCATTCAAGGCTTGATTGGATATATTTTTTGCTGTCGTCTGTCATTGTGGTTTCAGGTGTTAAAAATTGATCTTTAAAAACAGAAGGGCTTTAGTCCCCATTGAAAATAATGAGGACTGGCCATGCACATAAAACACATATTGATTCATATCAAACACATTATTTGCGAAAAATAATTGTCAATAGTATAATAATAAAAGTGGTGGAAGTCAATTATGATGTAAAACAAAGGAGGAGTAGTGGAGCCTTCAGGTCAGGAAGACCTGGTATTTGGGGCTTTGTTGGGTGGTTGAGATGGAGATAAGTATGTTTACCTTGTTTCTATGGTGAAACAAAGATTCTGTCTGGATTTCTGGGCTGTTGCTGTGTCAGCAGTACAACTATATCCTAATATCCTGAAGCTGAAATGGTATGTGCACTATACCATCAATCAGAGTCCCACAGGAGATTAGCCCTTTTCTTGTAGATGTCCACTTTCAGATAGTGTTCAGGCAAACAAGTGATGCATATCACTGCCCATGCGTGCAAGCGTACAGTATGTGTAAAGGTCTTATTCTGTGCATGTGTCTATGCCTGCAGTCAGTTGCCCACATTAGTATCTCTGTCCCCAATGAACCAGCGCATGTGAAAGCAAAGGGCGAGGAAGCCAGTCCCCAGCAGGTCACCGAGGGCAGTCAGGTAGGGGATTGAGAAGTTGTCCGGATCCATGCCTCGGCCCCACATCCAGTGGACCATCCAGTCTGCCAGGTAAAGCAGGATCACGACCTGAAGAAAAACAAAGCACAATAGAATGATATTTATTGCAAACACAGCCTTCAGCAGTGTTGTCTGAATGTTCTACAGTTATTTGGGTTTATCGAGCCTGTCGGCAGCTGTACGTGAAAAAGAGCTAGTAACCTTATTGACTCAGTTTAGCAGAAAAAGCATGTTCATTTCATTTGAATTACTTAAATCTACGACCACTATATGCTCTATTACAGAAACATTTAAACTGCATTTTTAACAACACACATCTATTTTCTTTATGAGATATTTCCTTTCTTTATTTGCACATAAGGATGTATGAATGGGTGTGGCAAGCACATGTGTACCTGCAATAGTGCAGCAGCCAGGTAGAAGGTGATGAAGATGGGTGTTAGGGTGGTGTGTCCCCCCCTCAGGGAGTTGATGGTGTAGAGGAAGACAAGGTGACCTGGGGCAACCAGGAGGAAGAGCACACGGGCTGAACGAGAGTTTACACCTTGAAGAAACAGAGGGAGAGGGAGAGAGATAGGGAGCAGTCAAACCTTTTCTTCTTTCAGACTATGATGAGATGTAAGTTTGCTGCTGAGCTTTTTTGAGCTATGGACAGATGCTGGGGCTAATACTGAAAACATAGGCTGGGGGGTATCATGGAAACGTGGATGGATTATGAGACAATGGGCCCCTGAGCACAGATATGTAAAAGGGCTCCAGATGCCTCCTAGGACAAAAACACCCAGACCAGAAGCCAACAAAACGGTGTCAGTTAAAGGCTTTTGTGTGTCTCTTGTGTGTGATTTTTTTTTGATCGTTTTGTAGTGATAGTGTGTCTCTGTGTAGTTATGTTTCTCTTTGATATTGTTTGGTCTATTTAGAATTGGTTTGCTTCTCTTTGTAACCATTTTATGTCTCTTTGTAGTTGTGCTGTGTCCTTGTAGTGTCTTTTTCTCTCTTTGTTGTTGTTTTGTGTATCTTTGTAGTAGTTTTTGTGTGGCTGTTGGTAGTTTTGTTGGTGTTTTCTGTCTCTTTGGTTGTTTTTGTCTCGTTGTAGTTGCTATGCGTCTCATTGTAGTTGCTATGCGTCTCTTTGAAGCCATTTTTGTCTCTGTGTAGTTGCATTGTATCTCTGCGGTCATTTTTGGTCTGCCTGTAGAAATTTCGAAGTTGTTTTTCATGTCTTTGTTCTTATTTGTGGCTGGTATTTTGCATCCTACTGAAGTTATTTGATTGACCACAAGAAATAAAACTTCAGACTAAAGCCCCTGGACTCAGGGCCCGCTGATAGCTTGGGCCCCTGGGCTTGTGCCTGGTAGGCCTCATCAGTAATCCATCCATGCATGGCAAGATCTGCTTTTATGAGACAAAGCGTGTGCAGAAACAGTGGAACATTCCACAGCAGCACAGTAGCTTACTGGAGCCAAAGAAGGAGGTGCAGGGTGTGGGGCATTTCCTCGGGGTGGGGTTGGGATCCCCCATCGGTAGACCATTCATGTGGAGATAGGTGGAGATTCGACTGGCCTGAACTGCCACCAGGTTGCCTCCCACTCCTGGTACAGACACAGGGGAAACATGGAAAATATAACAAAACACCCCGAGTACTGATAAAAACAGATGTTGGCACATAAATGAATACAAGTTCCTGTTTTTGAATATGAAATAAAGAATGTACGCTCATGTCTAAAAGACATGTATTTTGGAGATATCCAATAAGCCACTTAACTAACTGTTAGTTTTAAAGGACTGATGAACACAAATACTTCATCTGGCATACATTTGACACATTGACTATTATTACAACAGAAGGGGGAGCACACTGACATCTCAACACACACATTTCAGTATTTGGCCAGATTATCTGTTTATTGTTACTAATTTTCATTTTGGCAGCTGCCATCTCCATCAGTCACATACCTTTTCTTTCTGTATCTCATTCTCTGTTGCTAAGTTTTATCAAAATCTAAAGTTTGTTTTATAACTCCTCACCGTTGATGACTGGGGTGAAGACAGCCATGCCAGCAAAGTTTGGGTTGGTGACCGTCTTGTCGAGGATCAAACCACCAACACTAAAAGACAAGAGTGTCACAGAATGAAAAAAGGAAATCGCTTAATCTCATAAAATGACAAATGATATATTAGAGACAGGGTAAAAAAAAAAAAACACCCTCAATTCTATCTACAAGAAACCTGTAACAATCATGCAAAACACTGAAGGATCCATCTCATATGTAATAGTGAGTATGAACTGTTACACTGTGGGAGATACTGTACAGGCCAAAAAAGCTCGGGTCATTTTAATCCATCAGTTGCACAGTTGTTTGTTTTACCTAAAGAGTTCCATATCCAATACACACTGATGGTTGATAAAGTCTGACTTGTGTTATTTATTTGGATGTTGAAATGAATTTATCAATATTGCCACCTATGCACATCTGGTACTCATCTTCAATTGTTTTTTTAGTTCTATATTAGTGTGATTGCTGTAAACAATCAGCAGTCATGCTGTTGTTTTGCTGTTTCTCTTTATTCGTGTGATTACTAAAAGCTATCAGCAATTACACTTTTGACTTGCATTTTTTTCTTTATTAGTGTAATTTGTGACAAAAGGCTTTCTGAAAGCAATCACATTGTTGTTCTCCTGTTTCTCTTTAACAGTGTGATTAGTGAAAGCAGTCAGTAATGCACATAAACTGTATGTTGCAATATGTCTGACCTGATTCAATAAAGTTTATAGAAAGACAAGAATCCTACCTGCTGATGGCCATGGCAATAATAACCGGCTCCCAGCCGGAGTAGAGGACTTCTCTGGTACATGGCACTTTCCTGGCAATCAGCACCCATAAGGGGCACATTGCCACAAACACTGCACACACCAGTGGGCTGGCATAGTCATTGTACTCTGAAAGGGAAAGAAAAAAAAGAGGGAAATGGATTTACATACCAAGCCCATGCTGAAGGACATTTTACTAAGCAGTTGGTGGGTCATTTCTTGTAATGAGTCAAATATTCATGTTTTGGGAAAAAAATATTTTATTAATGACAGTGATTATAGTAATTGTTTTATTTTATCTTATCTTTGCCCAAAACTTATATGGGTAAAATGATTTGGATAGATATTTGATATCCTATATTTGTTTTTAGTTTCTATAGTCTTTATTTTATTTCGTGAAGTGCTTTGTGAATTAGTTGCAGGTTATTTGTCGTAGACAAAGGAACCTGAGACTAATTAACCTTCAATCCAAATCAAATTAAAGACAAAAGAAAATAACAGTTTTTGCAGACGTTACATTTTCAACAAAGCATCAGGAAAAAGCTATGACGTTCTGACTAGAACAACACAAAATCTGCTCATTATAGAGTTATTACGTCTAACTTATTGAAATATAAGTGTTTGAGTGTGCAGTCTTAAACTCAGTCTCAAATGGGTCCGCACTTGTAGGAGCCGTGGTGTGCCACAGAACCATGATGGACGACAGTCACAACGTGAGTACCGATGGTGAATTGTTTTATTGTTTAACGTTTTAAACATTTCTGATGTCTTCATTTGCACAGCAAAGCTGTTGTTAACCTGCTAAACTGTGACAAATCATGTTTGAACTTTTCATTAAACACTGCAAACGACCCTGTTTTATCTGATGAAAGCTGCTGGAAAAACAACTCTTAGCTCATTTGCTGATTTGTTTGAACGAGTCATAGTGCAATTTTGGCAGCTCAGCTCACAGATGATGATAATTAACTATAGACAGCATATTAATACTTCATCAGATGATAAAAGTGTGTTGAAATGATCACTGCTGGTCTACAATAAGCAGGAATAACCTTCAGTGTGAATGCTTGTTCAATACTTGATGTTTTACAGTTTAAATTATGTTAATAATGTTGCAGCTATTTGAACTGGTCCCAGTTTATGTCAGAGGTGTATTAATGCTGCATTCCTCTTAGAGCTGCTGGTTCTCTGTCATAGTTGAACAGGTGAGAACCTTTATGGACCTCAGTCATCAGTGATTCCACTTGTGATGAGTCCAAGTGTCTGCTGTAAAAAGGCTAAACGGTGAAACTACATTTTCCTCCACAGTACGTGTTTTCATAGTTAAGTCTTTGCATTGTGACATTGTTTTGTAATGTTGAGACATTTAGTATGTCCTTGGTCCAGTTCTAGGATTAGGTCTGATTTAGGTTTATTTATGTTTGCACAGTGATCAAATAAAAGCACATTTTGACCAACTGTCTTGTGTTTTAAAGGTGCACATCATAACAACTCAATGAGGGAGATCCTTTCCCGTATTTAAAAGATGCACCAGATGCTACCAAAACCGCCACTGGCCATTCCATTGCTCGGCTTTGTAAAATTGTGAAAAATAAAATATACTTTGCCACAGCAGAGAGGTGTACAGTTTGTCCTATATCTATATCAATGCTATATCTACTAATGCATTTTAATGTCTTGGACATGAAGTTGTACTTTCTGTGGAACAGTCCTTGAATGAACTTTTTAAATTCTAAGTATATTTTGGGTGACATCTTCCTTTAAAACTGTAAATTTTGCACTTTAGTGATCATCCATTGCGGTAGGTGGCGCTGTCTAAAAAATGCTCTAAACATGCAGCTGAAGAAGAAGTGCGCAGTCCGATCTGTCCTGAGAACGCAGCCTCCGGCTCTGCGGACACATACTACAAGTTTGAGCTGATGAAAACTTAACAGGACTGGATTTGGACTGCCGTCCTGCAGGAGGCAGTGTTACAGCTCAACTGACTCAGCAGGAACCTTCAGACAACTACAAACGATGAAACACCAGTTGTGTTTGTATGTGATGTGTCTGCAACAAATGAAACCAAATAAGCTCAATATTTGCAGATGCCTCTGACATTTAAAGTGAGTAAGACCATAAAGCTTGTAGACTTTCAGACAGATGGATGCGTTAAGTGGTTTCTCCAAACTCTGTGATTAGATGTGTCAGTCTCTGGTGTTAAAATGATGGAAGCTGGATATGCCCCTGGTGAAGATACTATCACAGAGCCAACCAGAGAAACAAAACAGTTGTAGAGTTGCTCATGATGAAACACACAGCCAGGTTCAGCATCCATCCGTATTTACCACACACAGCCAAATGCAGAACTAGAGATCACACGATCTATAGATACTGTTGTGTTTTATAACTTCAAAGGTAATAAAGAATTTTAAACTTGAGTGACAACTGGGATGATCCTTTAATTGCATTATAGGTGCACAATTCATTAGTATTTAGAAGTTTAATTCAAGACCGTAGTGCATGCAGCAAGTCAGTGCTCAAGTAAAGAATACATTTGTACTGAAGTGCAGCATTTAAAATACTAAATCACCTTCTACCACAAAAATATTTGAAAATTATCAGTATTTATAAAGCTGTAACTGCAACACAAAATTAAACTTCAGCACTCAGTGTGCTTCATATGTTCCCGACCCACATTCAGATCAGCCCAGTACGCACAGATAAAGGCTGCATTAGGCACTGTCTTCACATGGAGCTGAAAGCTCAGTGGATCCCAAAGGCAAGAACTAAATAAAAACTAATAAGTACCATTACTGTGACTCATGTTACCTAGCTCTTTGTAGAGTCCCGTTGAGATGCCTGCCAGCAGGGACAGGGTGATCAGGTCTCCCAGGCTAGCAGCAATGGGCGTGGCCACGTTGTCAGGGTTGATGCCGACTTTTCTGGATGCTACAATCACGCCGATCATGATGAGACCTGTGGGATTTTAG